TTATTTAAAAGAAAACATCAGTCAGATCTTTTCCTGTTCAAGCAATATAAGATGTCCTAGTGGAGTTTTAAATGTCTCAGTATTATTGTGACTGTATGCTGATGTTCTTCAGTAAGTTTTTGTTGAAAGAATGAGGTTAGGTAAAAGATTTTTGTTTTTGTTGTTGCTAGAATGTAGAAATAGTTTTGTGAACACTGGCTCATTAGAAACTACATAATTCCTTCTGACAGTGCTGTTGTAAAGGGGCTTCTTCAACAGATAGATATGGTGAAAATCAGCATAAATGATGTGCATTCTAAGAGTTTGTGGCTATAGATTAACACTTTTCAAAGATACATATTAATTTATTAATTCAACACATATTTTATTGATCATCTACTGTGTATCAAATCCCAATCAAGATGTAATGTGAGTTTATAGTGGTCAGCAAAATAGTAATCTATCTGCTTTCAGTAAACTTGGCAGTTTTAAATATTTCACTTCTTACAGTGACATACTGTTATTCCACGTATTCCTAAAATGAATTGTGCTTTTCTCAGTGTTTTTATGTTTATCTCACTACTATGGTGATTTCAGTCATCACCCCCTTTCCCTTCTCTCTCTTAACTTTATGATTAGTGAATATTGATATAGAATTTTACATTGAAAAATCCTTTCTCATCAAAGTTTGTTTGCCTCTGTTGCACACATAAATTTTGTAACTTGCTTCAGTTATTTATGTGTTAATATTTGAAAAAAAATGAATTTCTTTATCGTCAGTAGAGAGTGATTTGTCATTTCAGAATATTAGATTATGTGAGTTTCTGAAATGCTCCAACATTCTCGGGAAATGTTATTCAACCCCTAAATAACATTTTTCTCTCTAATGACATAGAGTTTGAAACTGAGTGTGTTTTAAGTCCAAGATTAATAATGCAGACATGTTGAGTTCAGTTCTGTGATCATAGATTCATTTAGGCTTATATTTGTATAGCTCAAATTTTTATAAACACAACACACTTAGTTTATATATTTTTATTATTTCAGTTTGGGGAAGGGGCTCCCAAGTAGTGCTCATAAGGCCCTGTGCCTCACTGACAAGTCTCTGCTGACTGAGTCAGTGGTTCAATGCAAGAGTCCAAGGATGTGCTACTGCTCAGGCCCTGTGATGCTGGGGATTATTTTACAAACACAGTCATGCATGGCTGAGCCCAGAGCTGCTTGAGGAACCAGTTGTTGCTAGAGATCAAACCAGACTCCTGGCATGCAACACATGCATCTTAAATCCTGTGCTATTTTATGGCTCCTCCCTGATATTTAGTATTACATTTATATTTACCTTCTAGTGTTCAGGTCATCTGGGAATAACTCACAAGTTGCGTGAACTCTCTCTGCTTTGGATGGTGTGATATAAATTATGCATACTGCTTTGCATGTACTCTACAGTTCTTAAGAAGTTAATGATGCTCAATTTAGGGTTGCTCAATTTGCCTCTTGGGAGGATAAATGGTTTGGACAAATTTCAAGACAGCTTCACTTCAGTAAATTGAAAAGTAATTATCATGAGATAACTTATGTCATATATGATGATATCCTGATTCTGATACATGAAAATGCTTCAAGTAATAATTTGTATGAAAAAGAAAAGAGTTTTGAACATTTCTGTAACCTCAGAATCCCACCTGTGACCTTCTCAGACCAATGTTTAATTCGTCACTATCCTGTACAAACACAAAACTACACAAGGTCCTGACTATTGGAGACTCACACAACATAAATGGCTTTCAGACAAAGTTTATAAAATGAACTTCTTCTAAGTGATAGTCATTCAATATGTTTCTACATAATACTTTTCTCTTACAAATTATATGAAGTAGTCAGCTCCTTGTGGTGTATTTGATATGCCAGAAACAGTAACAACAAGTCTCACAATGGAGACGTTACTGGTACCCGCTTGAGCAAATCAATGAACAGTGGGAGAACAGTGCTACAGTGCTACAGACTTTGAAAATAAGAATAAAATATTACATTGAAATTGTCCAGATACATTAATAAGTACTTTAACCTAGGTTATGTTAAGTTGTGATTAACTGAGATTACTGATGCAGATGATATTTTAAAGTTGCTTATTTTTATTTTATTTTATTATTATTATTTTTTTAAAAGTTGCTTAGTTTTAAAAAATAACTTAACCAGATCCCAATTATTTGTTTGCGTGTATACTAAGAATTGATAGGATGTTTTTTCTTTTTTTTCCTTTTTCTTTTTTCTTTTTTTTTGCTTTTTGGGTCACACCTGGCAATGCTCAGGGGTTACTCCTGGCACTGCACTCAGGGATTACTCCTGGTGATGCTCAGGGCACCATATGGGATGCCAGAGATTGAACCTGGGTTGGCCTCATGCAAGGCAAATGCCCTACCTGCTGTACTATTGCTCAAGCCCCAGGATGTTTTTTCAGAAGATATAAGGAGATCAATAAAGGGAAAAGAGAATTGAACAAAATTTAATCCTACTCAGAAATAAGCCTAATAAGAGAAACTGTTGTGCCATATGGTAAACGTTGGGACCAACCCAAAGAAAAGTCATTGAATTATTTTTTCTTTTTAATTTTATATTATAATAAGATTGCATTATTATCACATGTGTAAGTTTTAAATATGCACTGAAAATCAACAGGAATATATAAGCACAGCGGTAGGGCGTTTGCCTTGCACACAGCCAACATGGCCGACCCGAGTTCGATTCCTCCGCCCCTCTGGGAGAGCCCGGCAAGCTATCTTGCCCGCATGGCAGAGCCTGGCAAGCTCCCCGTGACGTATTCGATATGCCAGACACAGTAACAACAAAGTCTCCAATGGAGACGTTACTGAGCCCGCTCGAGCAAATCGATGAACAACAGGAGGGCCTTTACTAAGTTCAAGTCTGATAGTCTAATTCTGTCTTTCATTTTGTGTTTTTCTCTTTTATCTTCATTTATCCACTCCCCTTTCCTTCCCTTGGGGTAACCCCTGAGAAATCTTAGTATAGAGATTACTTTTATCTACTAGTTCATCTGTTGTTTTCTATAATATGCTATGTAATAGTGAAATCATATAGTGTTTCTTTTTCTCCATCTGTCTTACTTATTTAATCTTGATACCATATAGTCCCCTCCATAGTGTTGCAAAAAGATTTCATATTTTTTTGGGTGAAGACCTAATTAGCATTCCATTGTGTGTATGTGCCACATATTCAGCCATTCAGCAGCTGATGGGCACTTAGGTTGTTTGTACTTCATCATGCTGCAATAACAAGAGAGTGCATGTGTCTCTTTGAAAACTTGTTTTTGTATTTTGTATCCATAAGCAGGATAACTGGGTCACCCAGAGTTTGTATTTTTAATTTTTAAGGAATCTCCATATTAATTTTTTAAGAAAATTTTAAAGGATTTTCCATATTGATTATAGCGTATAATAGCTACACCAGAGCACATTCCCTGAAAGAACATGTAAGGTCCTCCTTTCTCCTCATCTTTCTCAATTTTTGTTATTCCTGATGTTTTAGAGAAGAGACATTCTCACAGGTGTGAAATCGCATCTTCTGATTTAGATTTGCATTTCTTGTGAAGAGATGATAAACATTTCCTTTTTGTTACTCTATTTTGCCATTTGTATGTCTTCTTTGAATAATGTTTATTCAGATCCTCTACTTTTTTTAATAGCACACATGTTTTTGGTTGAATTTTGGAGTTAATTATATATTTGGGGTATCAACCCCTTTTGAGCTGTGTGATACACAAACATCTCCTGTTGAGTGGGATGTGTTTCCCTTTTGATGAAAGTTTCTTTCACTCTGCATATTCCACTTAGTATGATGTAGTCTCATCTGTTCAGTTTTAGTTTTGTTTCCTTTGCCATTGGTTTGGAATCCCCAAACACATTTCTAAGACTGATGTCAAATTTTATATAGCCTGTTCTTTCTTCTGAGTATTTTAAGATTTCAGTGTTTACATCCAGTTATTTTGTCTTGGGATAGCATTCAGTAGAGTTCTAGGCGTACTCGAGGTTCTGTACTCATGGATAACTCTTGACAAGGCTCCAGGGCATCATATTTCTTTTTAAGAAAGGTTATATCTGATTCTTTAATCCATCACGGAGTTTAGTATTATTCCTCTGGTATCTGTTCGATTACTACAACAGCATTCACTGATGAAGCTTTTCTTACTCTATTATAAGCTTTTTGCCCCTTTGCTGTAAAGTAGCTGTCCATATATGTGGGCTCTCCATTTCTGGACTTTTCAGTTCTGTTCTATCAATCTCTATGTTTCTGTTTTTGTTTTATTATCATGCTGTTTCAATTAATACTACTATGTAGAATAGTTTGAAGTTGAGGAGTGTGCTACTTGCATTTTGGTCTGTTTTTCTCGTGAGGTTTTTGCTGTTTGGTATCTTTACAGTTCCAGGGATTTTTAGATTTTAGTGTTTTTTTGTTGTTGTTGTTGTTATTGTTGGGGTGTTCTATATCTGTGAAAAATCCTGTTGGGACTTTGATAGGGATTACGTTGAATCTATGTATTGCCTTAGGAAACATAGTCATTTAACTTGTGGTAATTCTCTAATCCATGTTTTGTAATTCTTTTAATCATTCTACTTTTCATTTACAGGTCTTACTCATTTTTGGTTATATTTAATTATTTTGATGCAGCTGTAAATGATGTATATTTCCTAATTTCCTTCTTTCTGCTACATCTTAATTTACCTATAGGAGCTTAATATATTTTTTGTACATTAACTTTGTACCCTGCTATTTTCTTATGCTTGGTTATTATTTCTAAAAATTTTTACTAGAATCTTTGGGATTTTCTTATGTCATGATTATTAAATGGGATAGTTCGAGTTTTTTTTTTTATCCTTTTATAAAACTATCTCTGCAGGGCTTTTGCTTGGTCTCTGCTGCCATGTACTTACCACTTTGTTTCAGCTAGGAAGGGCATATATTTATGCCTATGATTAACTTTCCTTACTGTATACTGTGTGTTTTAGGCTGATATGCAGCAGAAAAAAGAACCTGTTCAGGATGATTCTGATCTGGATCGCAAACGTCGGGAGACAGAAGCCCTGCTTCAAAGTATTGGTATATCACCTGAGCCACCTCTAGGTACTTAAAAATGTTTCACATTACTATTTAAATTGACCATGTCCAGCATTTACTGTTTTTTTCAATCTTTGCTTATATATTTTTTAAGAAGTTCTGTGACATTTGGTTGAGATGATTTATTTTTTGGAAATGAAGGGGATGAAAGGAGATGGGCGGAGAGATTGTAGAATTGTTAACAATTTACTGGTTATTGACCAATTATATGGTCAGTCTTTTCCACTGTGTTACTATTAGGGCATTTTATACTTCCCAAATGACTGACCACGTGCTAAATGCAAGAAAGCATGAGCTTTTTAAAGCTACTCCTTATTTCTGTTTCTGAAAATCAGTCTCTTTGCCAGTGTAAAGACTGGTAATGAATTTCATAACCACAACAGGCAGAAAGAAATTCCATAATGAAAGTGGAATACTTGGAAATTTGAAGGAAAATTTAAAATAGTGATAAGCAGGTAATTGACAAGTGAAAGTATATTTAACTTTATATCCTGTTATATTTGCTAATTGGCATTTTCATTGCAACACCCCCTGCTCCAACTCATTCATTCCTAGTTAACTACCTGTGATCTCATTTTCTCATCAGTATATGAATATCAAACTATTTGTTTATTTGTATTACAAATAACTTGTACATAATTTTTTTTTGCCACTTACCCGGATTTCTCTCATGTGATATTACTTTTTTTTGTTTGCTTTCTATACACATAGTAGTAATCTTAGGGTGTCTATAAAGCTATGTGATATCCAATATAATGGAAAAGAAAGACTTTTCAGAATAGCATATAAATAAATATAATATCAGATATACTTTTGAAAAAATGATTTATTTCATAAATTCAAATAGCTACTTTTAAATATAATAATGCAAAATCTTTTTATGGTTATATATAAACCGAGAATAAAAATTTTCCTACATATAACAAAATGATGTCTTTAATTATATAAATAAGTAGAAAATCAGTATATAACTAGCTTACAAGTTATAACTGGGTAAAATTTAATCCTTATTCACAGACTTAGATGATTATTATAGTAGGTAAAGTTCTATCTATAACAATGAAATAATATATTTCAATATGGAGGTTGTAATTACTGGATATTTACCTGACAGACCTTTAAGAAGTTGATAAGACTTTTTGTACTTGGTTGACTTGTTTTATAAATCAGACATTTAACAGTCAGTAATAGTTTTGATTATAGAAACCTTTGAAATTCTGTTGCAGTATGAACTTTATTGGTTAATTAAAATGGCAAACTCTGCTATTGTTCCCTATTCTACCTTAAACCACAAATTAAACTTTAAGAAAAAAAAGTAAATATCTCTAAGCCAAACTTTTAACTATCCCTGAGTCCCTGCTAAAGGACCCCGACAAGAGTGGACCCCATTTTCATTACCATCCTTCTCTCTGGCTTACCCTCTGACTTTTTGTAGAGGGTAATTAGTGAATGAATTGTGGGATCATGAAAAGTCTTAGTTTCTCGACAGATATGCCATTGTTTTATATAATTTGGGCAAAATAGTTAAACCCGTTACCCTCTAAAATAAATAAAAGGAAATTGCACATAATTGAAACCAAATGGGAATCTGCACTTATGTGTTGAAATTTCTTTCGGCCCATATGGTTTCTTTGGCATGTGTGATATTAAGAACCTGCTGAATTTGTCTGGCCTGGAGCCATCTTAGCTAGTTGGTACAGTTTCTATCTGGAGGACATTTGGCTTATATCTGAAAGATAGAAGGGGGGATTGTGTTTCCCTTTTCCTTTTAAAATTCCTGCTATTTTTATCCTTGCTCCCAGATTTTCAGCTTGCACTGACCTCAGTCTTGGAACTTGTTTCTCACTTGTTTCTCCTGCCTTCAGAATGGCAGTTTATTTCTGTGCCCCAGCAACATCTTTTAGAACTGCTGGAGGCAAAGAAAAACAAATCCCAAGCATAGTAAATAGTACAAAGGGATGAAACTATTAATTAAATGTAAAAATAAAGCAGCCTGGCATTTTCTCTGTTTTCAAAGAGATTTTTAAATTACCAGGTTCAACATGTAGCCTTTCTCTATCTGTCACTTAGCCTCTCAGAGAAAATGCAAGTTGTGTTACACAGACTGTAGATTTCCCACCAAAATAACAGTCATTGAACACACTTTCTGACTCTCTTTGACCATTTAAAATTATTCAGAATTATTTATTTCATAATCTTTTAAAGTTTTATAGACACTCATTTTATTTTTAATAGGTCACATCTATACTAACAAAATAAAGTGGAGAACCGGAGTTATCTAGAGATATTTGACTCGAGCTGAGAATTATGATTCTCCATTTTACTTTGTTAAGGTGGACATGGCCATAGAATCTTCAAGTTAGTTCTGTCTGATTTCATTTCAAATTTTAGTTTCTAAGATATGGAAAATTCACTTGATTTTTTTCCCCTTTTCTTTCCTCTTTATTTTCTTTATCCCATCTCAATCTCTCCTGGCCATACAACCAATTTAATTTGGGCCCATTTGATTTGATTTGTCTGACACTGCTCTTCCCCAGTGCAGCCGCTGCATTTTTTAACATGGGATACCTGTTATTTTCATTATTTAGTCCCAACCCCTATGTCTCCCTCCTCGAAATCAGTGAGCACTCCCAGTGAAGCTGGAAGCCAAGATTCAGGCGATCTAGGACCGTTAACAAGGTAAGAATTTCTCTTTATGAAAGTCACAGTAGGATGTTGATGAGAGAGACAGAAAGAGAGAGAGAGAGAGAGAGAGAGAGAGAGAGAGAGAGAGAGAGAGAGAGAGAGAGAGGAGAAACTTGGAATCATTTAGCTCCATGTGCACTGTGAAATGTACGCATCTGTATATTCACTCAGCCATCTTATGTTTAAATTTATGGTGCATTGTCCTTTTTAATGGCATAGTAGTGTTTTTGAACACTAAAAATGATAAACACCCTTTCTGAGTGGGCTAATGTAGCGTGTTGTGATTGGTATAACAAATACAGACAGATTCATTGACTTGGGCTTGAAAGAAAGCAGGGAAGAGCCAAAAACAAATGAAATGGATATATATGAATTCTCATCATTCTGCTTTGGTTTTGGTTTCCATGAAAATATTGTAAACCAAACACTGAGATGTTATAAAAATAGCTTAAAGATTTCAAGCATTTTGTTTAATTGCTTATTGAAATTGTATAGTTTTTGTTATCATCATCATCATTATTATATGGTCAGAGTCAGTTGTCAAATTTTTATTGCATGGTGCATAATCTAAGGTTATGTAACTTCTGAAAACTGATATAAATATTCCCTAATTTGATCACTAAAGAGAGAAAAGAGAAAGCTCATTAATTTGTATATATTCTTGGTGGTTTTCTTAATCCAACTGCCTCAATCAGGATTCATACTTGCTGGTGTCAGAGGGTTGGGTGGGATTTGTGGTTGCTCATTGACAAGCACACTAGTCATAAACACATACGTTCTCTTTACAACCAAGGTTGAGCTCCTTTGAGGATATGAACACATTTCTCCCACATCTTTAATTTTTTACTGAAGCAAAAATTCATGTTTATGTAATAATATCTTATGTGTTAAGTATTAGTAATTTTGTTTAAAGTATGGGCCAGATTATGACCTCTCTGGCTTGTTTTGACAAACGTTTAAACAAAAAACCCCAACATTTATAGCACTCTTGTTTTAATAAATCAGCCTTTGGCTTTGTCTACCTGTGTGCATTTTATTTATTTACCCATGTACATTTCTTATCTCATATATGTTACTGAGAAGAATAGCATTGTGTTTTTTTTTCAATTTACACATTGTCATAAGCATCATCTTCTGAAGGCACATTGTTTCCATATATTTCTGAATAACAGGTAATCAAAATTATGGAAATAAGAATAATTTAGTATTATCCTGAGCTTTCGGTTTTGCTTTTTGAAACCAATATATAGGACTGGAATTATTTTACCCATATCTGCCAGTTGGCATCTTTCAGGCTTGAGAGAGCCTCTTAAAACGAATGTTTTACAAATTGAAACACAGTGCTTTCAATTTAATAAAATGGAAGTAGAGGTTTCTCTGTGTGCACCAGAGTGGTTTATTTTAGCCAATTGCCTCTGTGATTTGGGGCAGGACACATCTTCACACTCTTTACTATGAACACTTCCCAAGGTCTTTGAGGGGGAGAAAGGTAATAATAACAGAATTTTGTAAAATTTAACATTTGCACAAAAGCTGTACAAAAAAGTGTAAAGAATGTGATTACACTCCTTAGGTGATCCACGGACCAATCAGTAAAGTGAGTCAGTAAATTTAGCCACGTGTTTCTAGTGATGTTGCTATATGACTGATGCTTAGCTTCAAGGAGCAGACATAGGCAGCATTAAATTCTGTTACTGATTGACTGTACAGTTGAGCTCTTTGGAAAACTTTCTAGAGAAAGCTGAAAACTTAAGGCAAAGTGACATTATTCCTTTTCTGAGAACACCACCTTTTATTTCTTTCTCAGAGAACACTACTCTTCATTTCCCTCATTTTCATATACGTGGTGGTTTTGTTTTTTAATTTAACAAATCTCTCTGGAAGAGGGGCTGTCCATTCCCACCCTCCACAAACTCCGTCTTAACTTTGATTCTTTATAGTTATGTTCTTGAAGAAAAAACTGCTAGAAGTTAATGAGTAAATCTCTTGCTAAATATAGGTTTATAGAAATTATAGAAGATTGTCATTGAGAAAATTCTTATTTTCAATAAAACTGAGACAAATAGGCTGAAAATACATCAGGGTTATACTAGTAAATTTTGTCCTTATTTGAAATTAAAGGGGTATTAGAGACCAAACCTGGGTCTGCAGTGTGCAAGGCATGTTTTTCACACCCTGTACAATCTCTCTGGCCCCTTATTTTAGTTTTCAAAATTCTATTTAGGATATATTTTTCTGTACAAGAAAAGTCCTTGAGAACAATTACTTTTAAATGTAACACTTTATAAAACATGAGATGGGGAAAAGAATTTGGCAATTCCTAAAAATATAATTATAGTCATAAATTTGACTATTTGTGTAGAAAATTTGGACTCATCCTACTTAAGGTGTAAATTCTGTCATTGATCTGCCAAAATATAAGCCCAAAAGTTTCTTTAGAGAGCTAAATAGGCAATCATTTCTTACACATCCCTGTGAGTGCCTAATTTTCAAAATGTCATACTTAATAGATCCTATTATTGAGAATAGGCTTCAACAAAGATTTTTTAACTCAAGTATAATAAAATTTTCTATATTGGTTTTAAGAGAAACAGTAAAATTTCAAAGAAGTAATAGAGGAATAAAACTTTAACTTATGACTATTATTATTACTTAAACATCTTTATTTAAGCTTAAAGCAATGCAAAGTATTTTGCAACCTTTGCTTCTGTAATGATTCTACTTATGATTAATATTTATAGAATTTTAATCTTTCTTTTGATTAGTTCTAATAAAACCAGTTAAACATTTTTCGGTTAATCATTATGAACTAAGAACAATTTCCTAAGCTAAAAAATAAAAATTTGATTAATAAAATATCTTAAAATTGTTTTACTTATTTACAGAGATGAAAAATCCTTTAATATCTGTCTGCAGCTGGACTCCAACACAAAGTTATGAGCATCTATAGAGTGACTATTTGGGATTGTTTTGAAAGTTTAAGGATATTTAGTATAGGAATATCTGTTACCAAAATTCAGTGCATTGAAAAGTCCAAAGAGGGAAAGCGAACTTTGTAGTACATATTAAATTCAATATCGTGGTATGCATAAGAAATTTTAAAAATCTACGTCTATACTTTAAAACTTAGTAAACTAGGAATAAAAGTACTTTTCTCAGTATAAGAAAGAATATTAATCTGAAATCAATAGTCTACATTTTTGTACGTGAATGAAGAATTTAGCACAATGCAGCCTTGAAAGAAGACTTATGTTTAGTTAAATGAATGGATGGATCTATTCCTCAGGGAATGACATGTCATTTGATGATATGTCTGTTTAGTACGTATTAGATATTTTTTAACGATTAAAAAATCCTTCTTTTTACTACCACAGAAAGACTAAGTCATTTTTAAAAAACACTTGTAGAAAAATAGCTATAATCAGTAATATAACCTAGGAAGGTAAATTTAAGTTTCCAAAGTCCATATCTCTACCAAACATTATTTCTAATGTAGTTGACCTAAGTTAAATATAGCTTAATTCCATACAGTTATAAAACAAGTTATAGCCGAAAAACATTTTGAAGGAAATATGCATGCATGAAATATATTGTGACCTTTGGCTATTGTTGCATTTTCATGCTTTAAATAATTCCTTCCAGTAGGAAGATCTCATTTTAGATTTTCATAAAATATGTTGTAATCATTTTATTTTTCAATTATGGGGGCAAAAGAAGATCACACCTGCCTGTGCTCAGGGCTTATTCCTGGGTCTTGGCTCAGGGATCATTACGTTAGAAGTTGGAGGACTGTATGTGATGCCAGGGATTGCGTCCATGTTGGCGACATACAAGACAAGAACTGTTGGTGCTAGGCCAGGACATTAGGATGAGCCTCTGGACGCTGTCCTGCAAGCAGGAAGCAGAACTGAGGCCCTACTTTCACATTAAGTACAGTACTCACTGTACTCTCTCTCCATGCCCAATTTTTCCTTGAGTGTAAATTTTGAACCCAAGGTCACACACACACACACACACACACACACACACACACACACACACACACTAAGTAGCCCACAGCTGAACTACATTCCCAACACTGTGGATTCATTTTTAATTGTGATAAGCATGCATACATCTTCAATCAACTAATTAAATGAAAATATTGAACATGACAAAGTCGAGAGCAAGATGTCTCAGGAAACCACTTTCTGGGTTGTCAAACCCTTTATCACTAACCTTTGCATATTCAACCAGAAATGAATCTAAATGATGCTCACTCGGCCTACATGTTGTTTTCTTCTAAACATGGATGGCTCTCATGAAACTCTATACTGGGACATGTCTTGGTTTGGTTGTGATGCCTTAGGATTCTCAGTGACAACATTGTATCAGAGCATGTATTGAAACAAAATTATTGACCCTAGAACTGTTACCTGGACATTGGGGGCATAGAATACATTCTTTGTGAAACATGATTTGAAGAAGTAAATTTTCAGAATGATTTTGGAACCAAAGCATGTATCAGTGTGATAACATTTTGTGCAACCTCTTTTATTACAACACAATTCCTTGCATCTTTATATTTGATCTTAGCCAAAAGACCAAGAAGTAATAACTTCTTGACATCTTTAACAAAATAGTCAGAAGGGAGATTTCTGAATATTATTTGGTAAAACGTGGCATAGGGATGGTTGTAATAACAATTTCTATACTCTTTTTTTAATCATCTCTAGCCTTACTATCATCATTGTTTAACTTTCTAAGCAATATGGTGCATCCAAGCAACTCCTTCGTGTTTTGTTTTTATTAATCTCTTATTACAGAAACAATATCAGTTGGTTTTATATAAGAAAATACAAAGAAAAATATTCTACTGCCATAGATATGTAATTTTCACATCTAAGTCTTTCATATAATATATTTGCCATCACAGTAAAAATGATATCAAACTGTACACACTTATGAAATTGATTTTATAATCAAATACCTCTATTTTTCCATTTCAACACATT